TCTAAATTTCACCAAATTTTTAAAAAAATTGTACTTTGAAATAGAGTAAAAATAGAATATAGTTAGCTCTTAGCAATATGAAATTTATGTAAAATGTACGCGAAAATAAGTTATTGTAATGTGTAAGGATATTGGTGTGTGAGGCCTTCTGAAAAGAAAAGAAAAGTGTGGTTTTGAAAAAAAACAAAAAAAACAAAAATAATATCACATAATATAAATAGTATTTACAAAATATAAGTTATATAAAAAGATATACAAATTTATCCTAAAACGAACAATAATAAATAAGGATAAAAGAACGTTTAGATTGTTTTAGCCTAACATGTGATATCAAAGTTAATAATCAACGAATCAAATATAAAGACAGTAAAATAAGACCATAAAACTCGATGTATTGTCTATGCTTGTCTACGATCCAGTCTACTAGCTAACAATGCCTATTTTTTCTCGATAATCTCAGACCAATCAATTAAATATTAATTAATACATAATCGATTGCATATTACTTGAAAACAGATTGTACCTTTTAAAAAAAGATTACAATTATTGTTATCAAAAATAGTATCAAATTCTCATAAATTTGTGAATATTCTCGAGAAATAAAATTAAAAATACATAATTTAATTAATTGCAGATTTAATATGCTTCATCAAATATTATAGGAATTAAAAATAAAATTTATAAGGACTAAAAATGTTGTTCAACACCATTTTTTATTTAACTTTATATGAATTTGTAAAGTGAACAAGTCGAACTTACATATTAATCAAAATAGTATGATTTTGAATTTTTACAATAATGTCAATTTATATATTTGGACTTTATGTTTACTCCAAATTTACTTGTCTCACCTAATTATGAATTGATTGAATAATAGTATACATATAATTATTAAGAATCACTATCAAAAGTATATTTAAGAAATTTGCCAGCTATACTTATTTTCATTAAATTTTTTATCTTTATATTTATTGAAAAAGTCAAAAAATAACAAGTTTGAATAATTAAGTGAGAATTGTCAAATTTGCCACTTAAAAAAAAGAAAAGGAGAACAAAAATCATTACATTACTATAAATCAGTCAATTTTTGATGACTCATTAAAATTCATCAAAATATTAATTATTATGAAAGAAAATATTGAAAAATCATTCGTCGAATATATTTCTAACGTATTTTTCATTAAGAATTTCAACTTTTTTATGACCCTATTTCGATCAAAATTTAACAAAATATTAATTATTATGAAAGGAAATATTGAAAAATCATTTGTAGAATATGTTTCTAACCTATTTT